GGGCCTGGGGGTGGGGCCTCGCCAAAGGGGCGTGGTCGACACCAAGAGAGGGGCTCAGGCAAAGGGAGGGGGTACAAGGGAAGGGGTGGGGCCTATAAAGGGGCGGGGCCCAGCCCACGGGTGCAGTGCAAGGCAGAGCAGGGGTCAGTGAGGCCTGGTGCCCCGCACCCCCCCGGGGGCTGACCCCCTGCTGTATCCCTAGAGCTGCAGAAGGCGCGGGCACGGGCTCGGCACGGGGGGCGCCCCCAGGAGGAAGCCGCCATCTGCAACCAGCTGGGGGATGCGCTGGCCCGGCATGGTGAGCATGGGGGGGGCTCCGCCTGGTGCCGGCCTTGGGTGCAGCTGGGGGCACACGTGTACCGCACTACCGCCGCCGTGCACCAGAGTCAGCCGCAGCCAGGACGCTGCGGGGTGTGCGGGGGGGGGATGGCTGGGTCGGAGCTGCCCCCGGGGCTGGGGAGGGAGCGGATGAGCCTGTGGGGGGGCACCAGCAGGGGAAGGGCCCCTGGGGTCTCTGAGGGCGAGGGGCCAAGCTTGCGTGACCAGTAGGTCCGACTCGCACGGCCGCAGGGAGCGCAGGGGCCTCGTCTAGTCCAGCTCCTGCCTGCGGCCGCAGCAGCCCCATCCACACCGTCGTAGCGGGCTGTGCCGGGAGCGCCACGTGGCAGCACAGGTGGGGGAGTGGCCCGACCCTCGCTGCTCTGCGCCCCCGTCAGATGCGGGATCCCCTCCCCGTGCCCTCACCTGGCTCCAGCTCCCGTGTCCTGCCCTCAGCAGCAGGCAGAGGGGCCGTCGGCTCCAGGCTGCCCTGGCGTCACTGTGAGCTTCCCCGTCGGGGATGCCACCTGTTTGCCTCCCCTTGCTCCCGGCAGGGCGGTACCGTGAGGCGCTGGAGGAGCACCGGCAGGAGCTGCGCCTGCTGGAGAGCGCGGGAGACGTGCTGGGCTGCGCCGTGGCTCACCGGAAGATCGGGGAGCGCCTGGCCGAGCTGGAGAGCTACGATGCGGCGCTCAAGGTGGGCCAGGCACCGCAGGGGCCGGTGGCTCGGGTGGTTGCTGAGCGGCTCAGCAGGGGGGAGCGGGTGTCGAGGGATTGGTTGTCGCAGGTGCCGAGGGCTGTGCTGACTCCCACCCTGTCCCTGCAGCATCAGCACCAGCACCTGGAGCTGGCCCGCTCCCTCTCAAACCACGCCGAGCAGCAGAGAGCCTGGGCCACCATTGGCCGCACCTACATGTTTATCGCCGACAGCAGCCAGTCGGGCGAGGCGCTGCGGGAGGCTGAGCAGGCCTTCACAAGGAGCCTGGCCATCGTGGACGAAAGGCTGGAAGGTGAGGGCCCCTCGGGCTTCTCCACTGGCCCGTGCCAGCCTGCGTCCCACCCAGGGCCTCGATGTCCGGGGGCTGCCCAGCTGGCCCTATGCCTGGGATAGCAGCTCATGCAGCAGCTGGGGGATGGTGCCCAGCCCTGCTCTGGGTGACAGCAGGGGCTTATGGGATACACAGCCCTGGTCAGCTTGTGGGGTCCATGCTGGGGCAAGATCAGGACCGTTCCCCTGGCTTCCCTGCCCCACGTGCCAGGCCCTTCCCCCGGGCAGAACCACCCTGCGGGACATGGTCGTCTAGCTTGTCCCCATCCCACTCTCCTGGCCCTGGCTCTGCCCAGGCGCCCTGCGTGCCCCTCCCCACCAGGCAACACAGTAACAGGCCAGCTTGCATGCGTCGTAGGGGAGGTGCCGCCGCGGGAGCGGAGCGAGATGCGGGCACGGCTCTATCTCAACCTGGGGCTGGTCTACGACAGCTTGAAGGACCAGGGCCAGTGCAGCCGGTACATAAGGAAGAGCATCTTCATCTCAGAGTAAGAACCAAGCACTTTCCTGGGGCTTGTGGCAGCTTTCCCCCGTCCTCTCCTCCTGGGGCCTGGCTCCATTCCCAGGGGTGTGCGAGCCAGATGGAGCAGGGAGCCCCTTGCTGTGGGCGCTGCAGTCTAATCTTGGTGCTGCTGTCCCCGTCCGGCTAGCGCAGGAGTTGCCTTGGCCCTGCTACACGTACAAGTGAAAGCTGGGGTGAAACCGGCTTTAGAGCTGTTGCACGCTTTCAGGCACTCACTTGGTAGCTGCCTGGCTCTTTTTATAGCAGAAGAGGCGTTTTTACCCTGCAATCGTTGCTCTGTGCCTGTGACTGGTTTATGTTTATTGCACAATTCACCAGTTAAATGCGTGATAAATGTAACATGTACCAGGGGCCCAAGTCCTGTGCTGCTGCTGCCTGCCCACCTGGCTGCTGAGCTGCTGGAGGAGGGGGCTGGTAGCTGTGGCTTGGGGGTGGAGGGTGGTGGCTGTGGGGTGTGCATGTGAATGTGGAGAGTTGTGCCCGTGCACCTGGGGCAGCTGCATGCAGTATTGGGCTCCACGTTTTAAAAAGGCCGTGAAGAAGTGAGAGGGGCCAGAAGTGGCAACCAAAATGTTCAAGGGCTTGGAAGGGAAGTTGCGCAAGAAGAGGCTGGAATAGCCGGGCAGATTTAGCTTATAGAAAAAGCATTTAAGAGGGGCCACGACAGCAGCCTGCAAACACCTGATGGGCGGCCAGAGAAGGAGCTTCCCCTCGTTTGTCTCTTGCTGCAGAGAGGAGGACACAGAGCCACGGCTTGAAGTTGCAGCGAAATCAGTTTAGACTAGACATCAGGAAATGCTTCTCAGTGAAAGCAGGGGCCATGCGAGAGACGCCTAGGAAGGGGGGGACTCTGCATCACTGGAGGTGTCAAGGAGACGCTTGGACAGGCACGATCTAGGCGCAGCGAAGCCTGTGCTCTGCTATAGGGATTTCTTTGTGGCTGCTTCTGGACCCTCTCACTTCTCCACAGCCTTTTTAAAACATGAAGCCAAAAGTGCATGCAGTACTGTGGTTGCCTCTCCCACCTTCCTGCTCCATGTGTCGGGGGGTTGAAGCCTCCCCCAGAGGTGCGGGGTGCTGCAGCCCAGGCTGGGGATGGGGCTGGGCTGTGCCAATGCTCCGGCTGGTACCAACCCCGCAGGGTCCTGGCTGGAGGGTCTTTCCCTGCACTCAGGGTCAGCCCCACGCTGCACTGGTGTAGGAAGGGATTTCCCCCCTGCTCAGACTGGTGCGGACTGGGAGGTTTTGCTTTTCTTGGCCTGCGCTCTTTGCAGCACCCATCACCGCCCTGGCAGCAGCAGGGCATTTGCGGCCGCAGCCCCGCTATATCCCGAGAGCAGGGGCGGGGGTGATGCCTGGGGCTGTGTCAGGGCAGCTGTCGTGTGGCTCTGAGGTTGCACTCGGGGGTTTGTCTGGGCTGTCAGTTTGTCCGATCCTGCCTCAGGGAAGGGTTGGACTGGATGTGACCCCGCAGCTTTGGGACTGAGTGTTTCACATTGGCTCTAAAGCTTAGCCCTTGCACTGAGGTGGGTGACCAGGATCCCGCAGTGCAGAGCTGGGGGCGCTGGGGGTGCCATGGCAGGTAGGGGACCCTCCTGGGGGCACCAGGGGCTGTTGTGACCTCTGATCCTGGCCTCTCTGCAGGCAGAGCCGCCTCTTCGAGGACCTGTACCGCGCCTACTTCAACCTGGGCAACATCCACCTGCGTGAGGAGCAGCACTCCAAGGCCATGCGGTGCCTGGAGGGGGCACGGGAGTGTGCCCGCACCATGAAAGAGAAGGGCATGGAGAGCGAGTGTTGCACCAGCATTGCCCAGGTGAGCCCGAGGCAGTGGGGCCCCTGGCTTCTCCCCACTGGGGGACCTCTCTTCAACCCCTGGAGCTGGCACCGGCCCTCAAAGCAGGGGGCTTTGCCCTGCTGTCTCCCCTGATTCAGGGCTGAGTGAGGGGGGTGCTTGTCCCTTCTCTTCCTGTGGTCAGGCAGCCAGGGACCCTCACCAGAGCAGGGCAGAATACCAGGAGGCTATTGTACCCCCCTTCCCAACCTCAGTCCCCACTGACAAGCCCTCCGGTGCCTTGCAGGTGCTCCTCAGCCTGGGGGACTTTGTGGCAGCCAAACGCTCGCTGAGGAAGGCCCACCAGCTGGGCTCGCAACAGCCCCAGCAGCAAGAGAGCATCCTCCGGAGCCTGCGCTACGGTGAGTTGAGGGTGGCTGTCAACCCCTTCGCTACAGGGGTCAAAGCGAGTTGGGGCAGAGGGCAGAACTGGGACAGTTAGCCTCCTGCCTCGGCCTTCTGGCTCTAGTCGCGGGGCTCAGTCTCGTCCCCTCCATCGAGCAGGCTGGCCCGCCTGCTCCCCCAGCTAGGGGAGGTGCCTGAGGAGCAGCACAGTTCCTCCTTGGCCCCCAGCAGTGCCCAAAGGCTGCAGCCACGCTGGGGGGATGCCCAGTGGGTCCCTGAGTAACACACTGGACACGTGAGATCTGGTCCTGTGCAGGGGGTTAGCAAACCCAAGTACCCTGAGTCTCTGCCGGGCAACAGGAGGGATTTGGGGGGCCTGGGGAGGGCTTGGCTGCAACCCAAGCCCCCAGCTCGGCTCTGATGCCGCTGGCCTCTGGCAGCCACGAAGGCCAGCCGCCTGCAGGAGGCCCTGGAAGAGGCGGCGACGAGTGACCTGCAGGCAGCTCTGGGCCTGTGCGAGCAGTTGGGCGACCTGTTTTCTAAGCACGGGGACTATCGGCGCGCCATAGAGGCCTATGAGAGGCAGGTGAGTCGGGTCGGTGCCTGCTGCCTCTGAGTGCAGGCAGGGCAGGGGCCCGTGGGCCGCAGGCTGTGTTAGCAGGTATCGTGTGGACAAGTGCTGCCCTCCCCTCCCCCAGGGCTCTGGGTTGGAACCGGGGCTTGGACACATGCGTGGAGGAAAGGGGCATCAGTGGCTCTGGAGCAGGGAGCAAGGGGCACAGCCTCAGCATCAGCTGTGCCTGGACCTCAGCGCTGGAGGCTGCAGGGAGAGAGGAGCAGGGGAAAACTCTGCTTGGACCCGGTCACTCTCCCACCAGCTCTGCTCTCTGCCCCATGGGACATAGGACTGGGCAGGACAGACCTGGGGTCTGCCCCAGCCTGTGGCAGCTGTTCTGTGTTCTCTCCCCCAAGACCTCTGGGGTCTTCACCCCTGAGGCACTTGGGGTATGTGGGGAGGAGGTGAAGGCGACTGAAGGGGCTGAGCTGGCTGCAGGGAAAGCTGAGACTGGCCAGGGGCCTGCCTGCAGCCCATGTGTGCTGTCGCTGGTCTCCGCAGCTCCGATACGCTAAGGCCCTGCAGAGGCCGGAGCAGGAGCTGGCTGTGATCCACGTCTCACTGGCTGCCACCTTCTGGGACCTGAAGGAGCACGCGCAAGCCATGCGGCACTACGAGGCCGAGTTGGCACTACGTCAGGGCGTCCCGCTGGAGGTGAGACGGGGCGTCCAGGTTTGGGCTCCGCTGTAGCTTGGGCTCATGGCCCAGCTGAGGCCAGATCGTGGTCAGAGCTGGTCTGGGGAGGGCGGTTTGGGGGCCTTTCCTGGCTGCCCTGAGCATGCAGGTCCTCATTGCCAGGCTCTGCTCTGGGGTGAGTTTGGGGAGCAGGAGGTAGACATTGGGGTTGGAGGCAGGAAGAAGCCCCAGCAAGCCAGAGGCCTGCACCTCTCCCAGCGTCCCCTGAGCCCCTGCCCCTCTGGGGAACTGAATGACCCTGGACCTGGGGTGGGAAGGGAGGGAACCCCACCCCATCACCTCACCCAGGGGCCTGACCCACCCTTTGCATCCCAGGAAGGGAAGACGTGGCTGAACATCGCCCTGGTCAAGGAGGAGGCTGGGGAGGCCTGCCCGGCACTAGAGTCCTGTCTCCACAATGCACTGGACTGTGCTGAGAGGGCCGGCGAGCCCCGGTTGCAGGTGAGGGAGGGGGGTGGACATGTGGCTGGCACCAAGGTCCAAGCTGAGCCAGGGGCAGGCTGGGAAACTGGGCTGTACCCAGGGTCTTCCTTGTGGGGCTTCGAGCTGGAACCCAGGAGTCCTGACTCTGGCCCTCCTGAGAACTGATTGTGCCCTCGCACACACGCCGGTGCTCCAGGACACCTGTGGCAGCCTGCACCTGGGGGCTGGCCCTGAGGTCCCTTCCCATTGTGATTCATCCCTTCTCCCTGCAGCGGCAAGTCCTGCAGCACCTGCTTGCAGTGCAGCAAAAGGAGGGCAGTGCCGAGATTGCCAACACACTGGCCAGGCTGGAGGCCCTGGCTGGGGGCAGCACTGAGGAGGAGGAGGAGGAAGAGGAGCTGGAGAGCAGCGAGCCCCTGGGAGAGAGTGACCTGGAGCTGTCAGAGAGCGGTGAGTGGTGGGCCCAGGCTGTGCATGGTGCAGCAGGGTAAGGAGCGCAGGTGGTGGATGAAGCTGGGAGTGGGGGTAGAGGAGGACAAGGGGGTGATGCCATACGGAGCCCCTGCCCCAGTCCTGAGGGGCGCTGGGGTTGCCCTAGGCCCGACAGCAGCTGTTGCCTGCTGCTGATGGGACGTGTGTTCCAGACGGGGAGGAGGACGACCTGGACGGCTACAACAAGAGTGTGCCCAGCCGCCGGAGGATCAACAAGGTGAAGGGGGGCTGTCTCTCCTCCTCTGTGGGTTGTGGTCCCCATATTCCCTGCGTCACTGTCAGGAGAGGGGCTGGGGCTGGACACTGCAGGGTGGGGGTGCTGGGCTGGCACTGCCTTGGGGTCTATGCCTGCCCTGGGGGCCTCACCTCCCCATGCCCTGTAGTGGAACCGGCGGAACGAACGTGGCGAGACCCCGCTGCACCGCGCCTGCATCGAGGGGGACCTGCGCCGTGCCCAGCTCCTCCTGGGGCAGGTAGGAGGCAGCAACAGGAACGGAGCCCTGTGGGCGCTCCCTCACCTGCAGCCATTTCTCAGGTCTCCCGTGATGCCCTGGGAGCCCCTATTGGGATGGAGGTGGAGGGGCGATGGCATGCAGCTAGGCTTTCTTGTTATGCTTTGCTGCTGGGCTTCCCCCCCCAGAAGTGGGCGCATTTCATCAGGGGTGAAGGTTTAGCATGGCTGCTGTGTGGGGCTGGAAGGGAATTCTAGCCCCCCCACTTTCTGCTCCAAGTGTCGGGTTTAAGCCTCCCCCAGAGGCGCTGGGTGTTCGGGATGGGGCTGGGCTGTGCCAATGCTCCTGCTGGCACCAACCCCACAGGGTCCTGGCTGGAGGGGCTTGCCCCCGCGCTCAGGCTCAGCCCCATGCTGCACTGGGGCAGGATGGGATTTCCCCCTGCTCAGACTGGTCGTACTGTGGGGTTTTGCCTTCCTCTGCAGCGGGGGCACGGCCTGGGCCTGGGCTCTCTGCACCATCCATGAGGCCCCTGGCAGCAGCAGGATGTTGGTGGCCGCGGCCCTCCCTGTATTCTGGGAGCAGGGGCGGGGGCAATGCCTGGGGCTGTCTCAAGGGCAGTTATTGTATGGTGTGGCTCTGAGGTCGGGCACGGGTTTGTGTGGCGCATTTGGATGGGGCTGATCCTGCCTCCAGCAGGACTGGGACTGGATATGACCCTGGGGCTCCCTGTCAGCCCCGTGGCTCTGTGGCTCTATGAATCTTTGCAAGCACAGGAAGTTTTTTGGGATGGAAACATAAAAGACTGGGTTGCAGGGACTGGTGAGGGTCACGGGGGAGGAGTGAGGCTAATAGGATCAGACTGAGGAGATGGGGGTGGGGACAGGTTGCATCTCTCCTCTCCCTGTCTGTGGCTTTCTTGGTCCCAGTGTGACCCCGAGCCCTGCCTGCGTCTCTTTCTTCTTGGCCCCAGGGTCACCCTCTGAACCCACGGGATTACTGCGGCTGGACCCCCCTGCACGAGGCCTGCAACCACGGGCATGTGGGTGAGTGCTAGGCGTGGAGAGGGACAAGGGACACCCCTGTCTGGGACATCCAAGTCTGACTTCCGGCTTCCACCCCCAGAGATCGTCCGCCTGCTGCTGGAGCATGGGGCTGCCATCGACGACCCGGGGGGGCCAGGCTGCGAGGGCATCACCCCCCTGCACGATGCCCTCAGCTGTGGCCACTTCGACGTGGCCGAGCTGCTGATCCAGAAGGGAGCGTCGGTGGTACTGAGGAATGCCAAGGTGAAGACAGCGGGCTTGGCAGGGGCCCATTGGGCTCCATGGCCTCCCCTGGCCCTGACTGTTCGTGTCCCCGTCTCCCCTGCAGGGGCTGAACCCTCTGGACACCCTCAAGGACTGGGTGAACCTGTATGGCCGGGACCTGGACCAGGAGACGTGGCTGAACTGCCATGCCACAGAGCGCCTGCTCAGGGACGCCATGGCAGGCCGAGGTGAGTGTGCCCTACCTGGCACCCTGGGGGTCCTGCCATGCCCCAGTCTCTGGAGTGCTCCCTGTGCTGAGCCTGCGGCACGGGGCACTGAAGAGCAGCAGGAGGGCCCTTAACCTGGCACTGCTTCCTTCCCCCACCACCTCCACCATCGTCCAGGGGAGAGCCTGCATAGTCCCTGCCAAGGGGCTTTTCTTTCTCCCTGGGGGTCTGGCTGTCTTCACCCTGGGACACAGAGAGAAGGTGCAGGGAAGGGCACGAGGATGCTGAGCGACTCGGAGGGGCTTCCCTAGGAGGAGGCTAATGAGGCGAGGCCTGGTTAGTCTAGAAAAGAGATGCTGGAGGGGGAGCAGGAGAAGGGTTTTGTAACACACTTGATAGGGATTCGTTACTGTCTCACCAGACAGGAACGAGGGTCACACATGGAGCGAGCAGGCAGTTCTTTTTTCCCCAGTGTGGCATTAAAAGGGGACTCGTGGACCCCAGAAGTAGTGAGAGCCGAGAGCTCAGCCAGGGCTTGGACACGTGTTTGGAGGAAAGGGGCAGTGGTGGCTCTGGGACAGGGGGTAAGGGGCACGGCCTCTTCAGCAGCCCTGCCTGGACCTCCATGCTCAAGGCTGCAAGAAGAGAGGAACAGGGAAACCCTTGCTCAGCCCCAGTCACTCTCCCTGCAGCTCTGCTCTCTTCCCTGTGGGACACGGGACAGGGCAGGATGGATCTCGGGTCTGACCCAGTATGTGGCAGCTCTGATGTGGTTAACACACAGTAGCCTTGTTCTGGGGGGACTCTGGGGGCTGTGGGCCCAGCTCAGCATCTCCCACATCTTCCTTCCAGCGGTGCAGCCCCCCCAGTCGTCCCAGGACAGTCAGCTCTTCGACCCAGAGCTCTCGGAGCCTTTGACTCCCCGCTTCTCTGCTCCTGCCACCCGGCCCCAGAGCGAAGGATCCTCCAAGCAGCCGCCCGCACCGTCCAGGGTCCCGAGTGAGCGTGGGGGGGACAGGCCAGAGCCCCGTGGGCCTCAGTGGAGCTGGCTGGAGCACGGTGAGGAGCAGGACACCTGCATGACCCCGCTGAGGCCTGTCAAGAAGAGGCAGCGGCTTCTGGCCCCGCGGGTGCCGGAAGATGAGCAGACCCGGACTCCAGGATTCCTTGAGCGGGAGAAGCTGGAGCTGCGGGTGCCTGGGAGCAGCCAGGCTGAGTACCAAGCAGCCATCCGCAGCCTGGGCAGTGCCCAATCCCTCCGCCCCCGGAGCCCAGAGCGGGGCCCACCTGAGCCCACAGCCCAGCCGGCCCTCATCCCGGCTGACCAGTATGTGGGGGACGACTGGCTGGAGGATGACATGGGGGCGAGCCGCGGGGGCCGCAAGCGGGGCCGCAGGGGCCTGGACGAGCTGCCCTCGGACTCAGGGGACAGTACGGGGCCCGAGAGTGACAGCGGGGGCCACCGCCCACCCGCACCCCCCCGGACCAGGAGGGTCAGGCAGAGCCGCCTCACTTGCATCATGGAGAGGACCCTGCTGGGCCGCACGCGTGGGGGTAGCACCCTGGGGGCTGCCCATCCTGCAACCCCCAGGCTGACGGACAGTGGCGGCAGAGCCAGTGGCACGGGGGGCAGTGGAGAGAGCCCACCCCCACAGGTGAACATCACACAGGTGAAGCGCGGGGGAGCCCATGGGGGAAACGGCCTGGGCAAGGGGCCAGGCATCTGGGCTCTGTGTGGGTGGAAGGGGGGCAGGGTGCCTCAGAGTGCTGGGAGGTCCCATCAACCCCCCGTCCCCCTGGGTCTCCTATGGGTCTTGACACCTCTCTTTCCCCTCACCAGCCCCCACCACCACCACCACCACCACCACCCCCCATCCGTGTGCGGGTGCGCGTCCAGGATAACGTCTTCCTTATCCCTGTGCCCCACAGGTAAGAGCCAGGCTCAGCTCCTTCCCCAGTCCAAGCAAGGGCAGGGCCATGCCCTTCTCAGGGCCTGGGCTGAAGGTGTTGCATGGGGAGGGGGGAGACGGAGCCCTCTGTCCATCCCTACCTAGGCCGGTGCCCTCGAAGGGGTCAGGGGCTTCCCTGTGCTCCCGGGACCTGCCACTGGCACTTGGAGGTGATGGCAGCCTGCAGGCTGGTGAGCCTCAAGGGTGGTCTGCAGCCTGGAGTCTTGCCCTTGTAGGGCCCAGGGGGGCACCTCAGGCACGTGGATGAGGGAATCAGTGGGTTGTTGAGAGAGGCTGCTCCAGGGACAAGAGACTTTACTGTGCTGCTGTCAGCCTCTTCGGCAGGCACCATGCGCTGCGATACCCAGACATGCCCTAGCTGCCTTGCTGCCAAGTCCTGCTCCTGGTCCTGGTGACCAAACAGTGCAGGGTCTCGCTGGGACAGTCAGTTGCAGCCTGGTCGCCCGGCCGTCTCGCTGCCCGGTGCCCCTTTCCCCCAAACTGTTTTATCCCCTTTGTTCCTCAGTTACATTCCCTGCCGCCCTTGCAAAAGCCCCCATGGCTCACCAAAAGCATCTGGGAACGTCTCCTAGCTAAAAGGGAGGCGCACACCCAGTGGCAGGGAGGACCAGACCTCGGCTGCTCGGGGCTGCAGGGGGGGTCAGGACGGCCAAGGTGGAGATGGGACTGGGACGAGCGACCCAGATCAAGGACAACAAGAAGTCCTTTTTAAATACATAGGGGGCAAAAAGAAGGT